CCGCTCTACATCGCACACTCGCACACTCACGCACTCACTCACACACTCGCGCGTCTAATTTTGCGCCAGTCGTAAAAGCCACAGAATGGCGCTGCGCGGCCGCGCGCGCTCCCTGGCCGTCGGCGGGCGTGGCGGGCCAGCCTGCGAGGCAGGCAATAGAAACGCACCGCGGCGCAGCAAGGCCGCATTGCCTACCGCGCAGGCGGCCCCAGGCGGTCAGAATCCGGGGCGCGTTTTGAGCTCCAGAGTCGCTAAATGGGACTCGAACCGACCGTGCGACCCCACCAATGGATTGCTCTACGGACGAGGAATCCATTGGTGGGGTCACACGCTCGGTTCGAGTCCCATTTAGCGACTCTGGAGCTCAAAACGCATCTTGACTTTTGGCCGCCTCCACCGGTCCTCTGGCCCACTGTGCGTTGCCGACCGCCCAGCCTTGGCGACAGCAGCGCCCTCCACTTCCTCGTCCGCTAATTATTTTTATCCTTTCGCAACAGAACGTGACAAGCAGCCGAGATAAGGGAAGTGAGCCGCACACTTCCTACCGCGGGGCGGGCGGGGCGGGGCGGGGCGGGGCGGGGCGGCGGGAAGGCAAAGGCCCCGATTAGATACGAGAGGCGCGAACGCCGCGAACGCTGTGGGGCTTGAGGACGCCCGGCAAGGTGACCGGGCCGCCTGATAGCGGTCGTGAAAGGCCTCTCGCCCTCCCCCCCCCCCCCCCCCCCCCCGCGCCCCGCACCCCACACAGGAAGCCAAAGGCACGCCGGGCCAGCCCGAAAGCACTTTGGCGTTCCGCTACTTCGGTTTACCGGAGCTTCAAACACTAACGCATCATTTGCGATGCATTTTTGAGACTGGGTAAGAAACGCGCGTCAGGTTCACGGTATCTGGCCGAATAATGCCTGCGTGTTTCTTTTATCGAGTTGGGAACGGGAAGATGAGCGCCCCGCCCCGCCCCGCCCCGCCCCGCCCCCCCGCCCCACCGAACTGCACACCTGGCGCTGACGGCAGCTTGATGGAAAGCGGATGGCGGCTCCGCGCTTCACGGTTCTGGCCGACGCAAGCCTTTCCCGGGCCAACGAGTCAGCAGCGCGGCACTTGAGGCGAGCGGCGCGCCGGGCGAGTAGGCAACCCAACCACCAGGCGCGCCGCGCGAGTAGGCAACCCAACTGCCAGGCCCTCCGTGCGAGTAGGCAACCCAACGGCCGGGCGCGTGCATTGGGCGGCCTGCCCGCTCGGCGCTCGCCACCACCAAATCGCTGCTCTGTCTCTCTCGCGCCCCACTGGGGCGCCCCGAGAGTGCGAGAGACACGGAGGACGCGGCCCGCCACTCCGCTTCCCGTGTTTTTCCGCGAATCCACGTCGCCCCCTTTGTTGACGCGACGCTGTTGCCGGCGTGCTCAAAGGGGAGCCCCTCCACCCCTCGGCCGGGCGGTGCGGCGACCGGAGCCAAGTGTCACTCGACTCGAGAGCAGCAGCAGCAGCCCTGGCTCGGCCCGGCGGGGAGGGACGAACGGAGCGAGCGAGGCGCCAGAATCGACCACCGCCGCGCTCAACCCTCCTGTGCTTGCACCGTGCCGCACTTGAGCTTCAGACTCCCCGTTACCGCCACCCCACCTGGAGCAGCGCGGCGCGGCGGAGCGGCGGGTCAGTCACCTTGCTGGCCTGGGTCGTCGACAGGTCAACAGGAAGTTTAACGTCCAGGGGCGCCCCCGGGACCCGACCGGGAACACTCGTGCGTCGTCAGGGACTTGTGCACCCCGACCACGCACCTCTCCGCTCGACACCGAGTGGAAGGACGGCGATCCCCTCGAGGACGAAACGGTGCAGGGCCAGGCTGCTGTCGCCTCTTGCAAGGCGCGCACTCGCCGGGAACTCCGCCCCGCCACAGCCACCCTCACGCTGGAGCCTGGAGCGCCGACGCACCGGCCTTGGCCGCGGACTGGGCCGGGCCGGACCGAGCCATCGCCAATCAGCGGCGAGCAGGCTGAGGAGGGCTGCTCTGCGCCGCTCCGCTTTGCGAGGGGATCAAACCCCAATTAGTTTCCTTCCAGGTCGCTGGAAACGGCCGGAGCCTCCAGGGCGGCCTTGAGGACGGCCTTGAGGACGGCCTTGGCGACGTCGAGCTGGGGCAGCGCGCGCCGTCGGCGTCCTCCCTGCTGCGCCGGCCCTTCCACCGCAGGGCAGCCACCGTCGCGCTGTCTCTGTCGCACCCACTGCCCCCGCCGGGGCGAGAAAGAGACAAGCAGAGTGGCACGCGGCGCGCCGGGAGACAACGTGACAACAAACAGAAATAGAATTTCCCGGAATTTCCGCAAAACCGTCATGAAAGCCTGACACGCCCACCGCCTGCGTGGCCGCGACGCCGAAGAGCCGGAATTTCGTTAAGCCACGACCCCCTCCGCCTTCGCTCGGCCCGGGGCGCCGCGCCGCCAGCGCGACCCGCCGCGGGGGGTTCTCCTCGCCCCTGCTCTCTTTCCTCCTCGCCCCCGCACTGGATTCGCGCGTTTAATTGGCTCTTTAGATTGCACTCGGGGACCCGCCCACCCCGCCCCGCCCCGCGTACCTGGAACGGAATGGGAGCGACGTGGCCTCGTCGAGCTGCCCGCTTCGCTTCGTCCGCCCTGGGAACGTGGCCCCGCCCCGCCCCGCCCCGCCCCGCCCCGCCCCGCAAGATTCCAGACCAAACTCAATCCGACGCACCCCAAAGTGAGGGCTCGGCCCGCTCGGCAGCCGCATGCCAGGCCCCGGACTCCGGATGGACCCGGATGGACCCGGACGGACCCCAGTCGGCGCGGGGCAGACGGCAGACGCGATGATCGCTCAGCCAATCACGCCGGGTCCCGAGTTCGAGTGCGGCTCGCCGCGTGTACCCAGTGGAGAGGACCAACGACCCGCGGCACCGAGGCGGGGCGGGCGGGGCGGGGCGGGGCGGGGCGGGGCGGGGCGCGGTGGGTACGACGGCAGCGCAACCACCCTGGGCCCCGCCACGCCCCGCCCAAGCGCCGCCGCCACCCCAATTCGCAATTCTCCCTCGCAGATTGTTTCATCCGGTAAACAGCGGAAAGCACACACTCTCTCATAGCCACACTAACACGCACACACACCGACACACAAGAATCCCGGGCAGCTCGTCGAAACAGAACAAACGCGCCGCTGTGTGCGCTGTGCGCTCCAAACTCCGCCCTTAATTCTTTCTTTCCTCTCCGTCCGCCTGGTTCTGCCCCCCTTTCCCCTCCCCAAACCCCGCCAGCAGCCAGCCCCATTCCGGCCGAATACTCTTCTGCATCCCCGGCCGGTGCGGTAAACACCAATATGGCGAGTTTGCATACCGCCCGGTGAGGGCAGAGGGTCGAGGTGGGCTCGGGAACGGGAGGGGAGGGGAGGGGAGGGGAGGGGAGGGGAGGCACCCCAAAGGAATCCCGATGGAATGTCCATCGTCTTTCTTCGGGCCATCGGGGCGGCCTGCAGGCCGAGACCCCGTCTTCAGGACGAGGCACTTCGTGTTGTCGTCAGCGGCGTGCCACGCCACGCCCCGCGCGGCGCGGACCGAACAGCGGCGAAGTTGATCCGAATTGGTGGAATCCGCGACTTCCGACAGGGGAGCTAGCCCAGCCCGTGTCCGTGTCCGCGGCGCCGAGGGAGAGGAGAGAGGGGCTGCGCAGTCCGCGCCGATTTCCTTGTACCCTCATACACGACTAATGGGCTTGAGTGCGTCTCGGCTCGGCTCGGCCCGGCTCGGCCAGGTCACATGAATTAGTCACCCCCAGAGTGGTGGGGGGCGGCCGTTCACCCCCGCCACACGCCGTGCCCTGCCCCTGCTTTTAGACGTCATTCATAAATGAAGGCCCGCGGCGGCGCTGGCAAGCCCTCATGGAGTAGGTCGACGTCGACCACGTCGACGCGGACGGCCGACAGGGGGACTCGCGCCGCGCCGCGGTGCCGCCGTCGGCACACTGCACCACATCACAAATGCAGCAGCGCGGCGGGGACGGGCCTGACTGTCAGACAGGCAGGCAGTCAAACAGACAGACAGACAGACACCGTTTGCCGATTATCGGGCGCGGGGCACCGGGTCGGCAGAGACAAAGACAACAACAGTGGCTGTGCATTATTTCGCGGAATGGAACCGCCACCGCAAACAGGACGGAGACACGGACACACACACACACACAGACGCACACACGGAGTGCAGTCGCACGCGCGGACCCGCTCTCGCCAAAGAGATAGAGATGAAAGGCTGCCTGTTTGCCAGTGCCCCTGACCGATAGCACACACACACACACACACCGAGCTGCAGACGGCCCGATAGAAACATGCAAAGGCTTGGCACTGCTGTCCACACACAATGAACAGACGGCAAACCGTCCGCCCCGCCCCGCCCCGCCCCGCCCCGCGACTATCCAAACGTATTGATCGCAGCCGGGCTGGCGGGGCTGGCGGGGCTGGCAGGGCTGGCTCCCCCTCTTCCTTTCCCTTCCGCCCACGCAGGACGCAGGACGCAGGGCGGCGGGGTGGTCCGGGGGCCCTGGGGGCGGCGGGGGCGGCGGGGGCGGCGGGGCGGCCAGGGCGCTTCCGGCCCTCCACTGTACTTTGTCCTGCTTCCACTCATTAAAAGCGCATGCCGGCGCTGGCGGCGCGTCCAGGCCCGTCTCTCTCCGTCATCCGGCCGTTGCCGGTGGTTGCCAGGCAACGCGGCGCGCCGAGCCGGCCAATCGCGGGCGGCGTGAGAGGGGTGAGAGGCAGCGAGGGGCTGCGGGGGTTGCCGGCAGTGGTGGCGGGGCGGGGCGGGGCGGGGCGGGCGGGCGGGGCGGGGCGCACGACGCCACATCTACTTCCCGGAGCCAAGTCGCACAAGGCCGCCCCGAGGCCGCCCCGAGGCCGCGCCGCCCGCCGGGACGCGACCCACTGAAGCGCGGCGCGTGTCAGATCCCCGACAAATGGGGACGAAAAAAGGAGAAAGACGACGCGCTGGCGGGACTCGAACCCGCGAGACTCACCTGGATCGTCGTCCGGGAGCGAACTGGGTCCGGGCGGCGACTCCTCCGCGGCGGTGTCGGCGACGAGCGGCGGTAACGCTGGAGGAGGTGATGAAGACGTCGGCGACGCTGTCTTGGCCGGTTCAGAGGTCGGCGATGAGGGGATGGTCGATGCTGGGGACGACGCTGCCGCCGTCGTGATGGTGGTCGTCGCCGTGGTGGTGCACGCGGTGCTGGCGGCGCCTGGCGTCGTGGACGCGCTGCTCGACGCGCTGCCCGTCGTGCTGGTGGAGGTGCGGCTGCCTCTCCGCCGGTTGTTCGTCGGCGTGCTGGTGCTCGCGCCCACGTCCTGCTGCTGCTGGGCCAGCAGCTGTTGGATCCGCGGCGGCGGCGGCGGCTGCGGACGGAAAAGCAATCATGACAACGCCGTCAACGCCGTCAACGCCGTCAACGCCGTCAACGCCGTCAACGCCGTCCTCCTCGCGGGGGTCACCGTCACCGTCGCAGCCTTACCGATGGCGGCGCCTGGGCCGTCTGGTGGCGCGATGACCGTCTCTGTAACGTCTCACCGCGCATGATGGAGTCCACCACTGCAACAGAGAGAGACAGACCGTCAGACGGAGGCCACACGCGGGTGGGTGCAAGTAGCGAAGGCTCAATACGCACCATCCCCTATAAGGCGAATTTGTGTGAGCTTGGGGTGCTCGGTGTGCTCCTCCAGGACGGTGTCGTCCGTTACAGTGATCTCCTGTAAAGAAAACGGAAAGCAACATTGAATGGTTAGTCACACAAAGATTGTGTAAATGATGCAAACAGGGTGTTTGTTTTCGAAAAAAACTGCTCCAATGCTTCTTACTCACCCCACTGTTCTCGTCGTAGCCCACGATGACGGCGGTGTACCACTGCGTCGTGCCTTCGGAGCGGTACACCTCGACGCGGTAGCCCACCAGCACGGAGGGCGTGTTGAGCAGGATGCGGTAGCCGTCCTGGACCTCCTCCCAGCGGCGCACGCACATGCCCACCACACTGTACACGCGGCAGACGTCGCGCGCCGCCGTGGGGCCGTGCAATGGGTCCAGCATCCCCCCGGGGTCCGTGCCCGGGTCCCACTCCTGCAACACAACAAGCAGGCCGTTAGAGAGGAGATCGTGTCGGTCACAGTCATTCGTTGCACGCCTCGCTATGGTTACCAGTCAGTGGCTGGTCCTCAATTCACCCCCACGACTGCGTTTTGCAGTGCAGGCGGGCATGTGTCGGGCCCGAAATGGCATACGATCATTTGTGATCTAGCCTTTAATGGTAACGACTGCCAACCCGCGCGCCACGCGTGTCTGACGGCGGCCTACCTCGCAGGCGCTCCACCCAGCCACCGCACATTGGGCCTAAAGACCGGTGCGGGCGGCCGAATTTCAAGACGCGATTTGAGCTCCAGAGTCGCTAAACAGGACCCCACCAATGGATTCCTCGTTCGGAGAGCAATCCATTGGTGGGGTCATACACTCGGTTCGAGTCCTGTTTAGCGACTCTGGAGCTCAAAACGCGTCTTGAGGTTTGGCCGACTCCACCGATCTTCTGGCCCACTGTGCGCCGCCGAATGGATGCACCGTCGCGGTGGTCTCCGAATAGCGCCCCACCGCGCCGCCACTCCGCCGAGGCAGCCGAGGCCGTCAAGAGCAAAGCAATTACAAGTTTGGCGACTGTCTTGGCGGGGCTGGCGGGGCTGGCGGGGCTGGCAGCCTCGCCGCGCTGCCAGGGCTGGCAGTTTGATTGCTCCGCCGTCATCCAAGTCGACAAGTTGGTGGCGTGACGTCGGCGGCGCCCAGAGTTAACTCGCAGCCACCTTCCAGTCGCGGCTCCCTTCCGAGGCGCCCGCCGCCCGCCTTCCTGCTCCACCTGCTTCTCGGCCAACTTCCCCGAAAACGCGATGACACGCCGACTTCGTTCGGCGAGGTTTCCCGGCACGGCAGGCACCAGTGCAGAATTTAAGAATTGAAAATGTGAGACAAAGAACGTGCCTCTGAAACGTGCTTGACGCCCTTTCATTGCGTAGTGGACTAACGCAATGCTGCTTTAACCAACGATACTCTCCGAACCCCTCCACGTCCGTCACAGCCAAGAAAGACAATGTTACTCACATGAAACGGCTTTAGCCTGGAGTAGACTCTGAAGGAGAGCTCCCTGTCCACCAGGAACTCGATGGGCTTCGCCTTCGTGTCGTCCAGGCCTATCCTATCCACGAGGGGCACGAACGTCTGCAAACGAAACAACGCATCGTCAGCACTCGTGCTGGGCTGGGTTCGCCCAACTGAATTGGAGCATTTTCGGGCTGCTCTAGGCACCGAGTACTGACCAGTGCCGGCCAGGCGACGCATGTGGAGTTCCGGTAGTCGTTGGGGTCCAGGCGGCTGCCCCACACCAGGGTGTGCTCCACCATGAACACTTGGAACATGCCCTCCTGGTACACGCTGATCCACTCGCGTCGCTGCCAGATCATGTCGTCGTACTCCACCAGCACCTGCAACACGAGCAACGCCAGTGTCAGACTTCAGCGCACAAACCACAAAAGAAACCATCACAAAAAGTTGAAGTTTTGGAAAAAGAAGTGCCAACATTTCAAATAAAGACAATGGGAACTGTGACATTTATTGAAAATTTCCCGCGGCGGCCTTGGACTTCACTTGAAGGCTACAATTTGTGCCCCGGCTTTTCCGGCTTTCCCCCGCGGCCTCGTGGGAACGCTTCCATAAATTACGTCATCGATTCGCGGAGAAAACCGCCGCCATGTGTATTTCATGAGGAGACCATGGCCATGGCGCAGCACAGTGGGCCAGAAGACCGGTGGAGGCGGCCAAAACTCTAGACGCGTTTTGAGCTCCAGAGTCGCTGAACGGGACTCGAATCGAACGTGTGACCCCACCAATGGATTCCTCGTTCGGAGAGCAATCCATCGGTGGGGTCACACGTTCGGTTCGAGGCCTGTTTAGCGACTCTGGAGCTCAAAACGCGTCTAGTGTTTTGGCCGCCTCCGCTGGTCTTCTGGCCCACTGTGCGCAGGCACGTCGCCGAGGGGGCGGGGCGGGGCGGCCCCACGAGGCCCTTCGCCCTTCGGTGTTACGTATTTACTAAACGAAATCCAATTCCCGGCACAATAACACGCGGCCTTCCCCTGTAGGCCCTGTGGCCCTGGAGCTGGAGGCCCTGGAGCTGGAGGCCCTGGAGCTGTAGGCCCTGGAGCTGGAGGCCCTGGAGCTGTAGGCCCTGGAGCTGGAGGCCCTGGAGCTGTAGGCCCTGGAGCTGGAGGCCCTGGAGCTGGAGGCCCTGGAGCTGGAGGCCCTGGAGCTGGAGGCCCTGGAGCTGGAGGCCCTGGAGCTGGAGGCCCTGGAGCTGGAGGCCCTGGAGCTGGAGGCCCTGGAGCTGGAGGCCCTGGAGCTGGAGGCCCTGGAGCTGGAGGCCCTGGAGCTGGAGGCCCTGGAGCTGGAGGCCCTGGAAGGCCCAGGAAGCACGCAGGAAGCGCCCTCCCTCGGCGCGCCCGCCAGTGTCGTGCCGGTGGTCGGCGGCGCTTGGCGGCGCGGCCGCCAGGGGGCAGCACGCGGCGGCGGCACGCTTTGGCGCGGCGTGGCGCGGCGCCGGCCGGGTGGCGCGCTGGCGCTACGCTACGCTGGGGCTACGCTGGCACACTGGCGCCGCCTGTGGGGATGCAAGGCAAGCTCGGTGGGGCGTGCCGGCGGGGGGTGGCGGCCGCACCGGACCGGCACACTGCAAGCACGCCGCACGCCGCTCGCCGCACCACGCCCACCTGGGCCTCGGCTCGACCAACCACGTGTTGCTGTTCATTCTTCATTGGCACCGCGCCGAGCCGCGTGGCCTATGGTCCCTCTTCGGAGCGATCGCAAACAGTCTCTCTCGTGCTCCGGGGGCAGCCCCAGCCCCGCGGGGGTGCGCGCGACACAGCGACGAGGCAAAGTGGAATCGGACTGCAGCCGGATGTGTGTCTCACCGCCGGAGTATCGCCGCGCGGACATACCCTGCAGTGCGGCGACACCCCGCGCGCGACCCGCGGCACGACAACAACAACAACAACAACAACAACAACAACAACAACACAAAGAGCGGCGGGCCTGACCTAGGTCAGTCAGCCTGCCAGCGCGGTAGCACGGTGCAACAACCGTCCACTTGACAAGTCAGCAAACTCACGAGCGACTGCCGGCTGTCGCCCCATCTCCGGGACCAGCAGGGCTCAGGGCTGGCCGTCCGCAGGCCGAGTCTGTCTACACCGCGGCCGAGGCTCCGATCGAAGCGCGTCCAATTGTTTTAATGCCGGCACCGATAATTAGAGAGACAAGTGGGGTCGTTAACAAGCAGCGAGGCCCCCCTCCCCCTTTTCTCTGTCGCGCCTTTGACGAACCCTCGCCTCCCCGCCAGCGAACCGCGGAAAATTTAAAAATCAGGGCGAGAACAAAAACACAAACAGTGGCATAGGCTGTCAGTCAAAACCCGAGGGTAGAGGACTGACTGTAGACTGGCTATTTCCACTGCAGATCAAACCCGATGCCTCACCCAGCACTCCTCACAGATCGCGGTGGCCGAGAGCGCTAAGGCATCCGGAATGCAAGTGCGGTTCGGGCGATCGATTCCCAGCACTCACACATTTTTACCAGCTCTCTTCGTCCTCGCTCTCGGTGATCACGGCAACGTCTCACAGTGTGGCGGGGAGCGCCCGGACGCCAGGCCAGCCCGCCAGACGCAAACGTCAGCCGGCTGCCTGCCCTCCTGGGGGCTCTCCGTCTGCCCGCCGCTACCCGAGTCGCCCCGCCTCGCCGCCCCGCCTCGCCGCCCCGCCTCGCCGCCACAACCCCCCAGCAGCTCCAGACGCCGCGCCAACATATCGTCCACGTATAGCGTAACGCTGGTCTAGTCCGCTGTCCTCGCCGTTCCTCGTGGGTCGTCCACGAGTGCGAGAGAGACGACGGGACACTAGGCGTTCGGGCGCGATGGCACACGCCGCGGTCCGAACCCCCCACACACCCACACACACACACGTACGCACCCAGCGCTGTGCAGCCCCCGCCGCCCCCGCACGGCGCCTCCTGCGCGAAATAAATTCAACAAAGGGGCCCCGCCCGGCCCCGCCGTGCCCCCCGCCGCCAGGGCTGCCAGCGTCGATGGCGGCGGGGGGAGGGGAGGGGGCGGCATGCGAAGCATGGCTCTTTTATGAGCAGCCACCCTCTACCTTATCACACCCTCTCGATCCACGCGGCTCGCCACGCCACGCCACGGCACGGCACGGCATGCCCAAGGTGAGGTATTTGATTCCCACCCCCTCACGGGGTGTCTCCGGTGGCCGCGCCGGGCCTGGGGGAAAAGGGAGGGGGGCAGCGAGTGGGGAACACCGCACCGGATCCAATTAGAGAGCCTGCGTACCCACCCACCCCACCGCGCGCGCGCGCGCCCACACACACACACACACACACACACACACACACAAACACACACACACAAGCGCACAGCCGCGGCGCGGTCGGTCCCGGGCCAGGAATGGAAAGAAAACAGAGACGCGTATGAGTGGCGCGCACTTTCCCCGAAGAGGGCGGCGGCGGCGGCAGACCAGCGGGTGGCGGCCCACCCCCTTCCCCCAGTGCAGCGCGCGGCGCGGGCCATTGACCAGGTGCGCGGCGCGTGACCCCCGGGGCCTCCAAGACCGCCACCGACGCGATGGACGGGCCGATTGCACCGCCCCGTCGGCCCCGTCGCAGTCTGCAGCCCGGGCTCGCGTGCTGCGGCGTGCTGCGGCGCGCTGGACGGACGGCGGACCTATACTGCCAACGCGGAGGGCCGCAAGGCGGGTGGAGTGCGGGGGGCCCCTGGAGAGCCAGTCCCTTCAAACGGAGGTTCGCCATTTTGAGCCCCTTGGCGAGGCCGGTGCTGCTACATGCGATTAATTTTGATTAATAGAAAATCACTGATTGCTGGAAATTATAAATAATTATCGGTTACAAATAATTAAATTGCTTATTTGAGCGCCCGCCTCGGAAAGCTATCAATGTGTCCAACCCGACTGCGTCCAACCTAGCCCCAGGTATCCCTCAAGGGCCCAGTATACTTCACACGACTTACTTTTAACCCAAATTTTACACAATCTTGACCAACTTTGCACGGCCGGCTGGCTGGCTGGGGCACTGGCTCCTCCCCCTGATGACCGCCGCGCCGCCAGCAGGGACTAGCACCCCTTGCTGCGCATCGTGTTATGCCACTGAATCCCTAGCCGTGCACCGGCCGGGCGGGCCGTGCCGGGGCAAACACTTTCAGGTCGCTTTGAGGCCGCGAAGCCCGGTGAAGCCCCACCGCGGCCGCGAGGCCCTATCACACGATGCGGACGCCCGGCCCGGCCGGGCGCGCACCGCTCCAGCACCACCCTCCAGGAGCGGCGCCTTCCTCCTGAATGCACCGGGTTGGTTGGTCAGTCTGCACCAACACGAACGACAGAGGAACACACAGGCTGAGTTCGTTTGAGCCAAAAAAGCGGTAGCTGTTTTTGGCTCCGAACAAGCATCGTCGCTGTGTCTCCCGGAGTGGCACTCGGCGGTACACTGCGAGTTGAAATCCCCAAACGGCACATGTCGATGCCGGCTTCAGTTCAATCGGCAGCCCTTCAACACATTTTTGCGAGGGTGGTACACTGCTCCGCCTATAGATCTGCCCTAAAGGGGATGTCCATAAATCAGGCAGACAGCTCGGGGGGGTTGGGGGTGGTAGTTAGTCTCATACACTGAAAGCATTACAGGCTGGACTGGGACGTCCAGGGCACCCGGGATGAAAAGAGAGAAAGAGAGAGAGAGAGAGAGAGATAGAGAGAGAGAGAGAGAGAGAGAGAGAGAGAGAGAGAGAGAGAGAGAGAGAGAGAGAGAGAGAGAGAGAGAGAGAGAGAGAGAGAGAGAGAGAGACGTGGAGGTGACGACGAGCTTTTGCGGCAATCCCCCGTCCTTTTGGCTCTCCGCACCGCACCGCTCCGCACCGCCAACAAGAACCCGGTAACGAGGGCAATGCCGTGCCGCCTTGTTTGGTCCGGCATTTCAAACGCTTTTCAAGGGCTAAGGCCGAGGCTAACGCCGGGCTGACCCGCACGGCCCTTCCGCGTCAAGGGCCCAGCCTTCGGCAAGGCCATCGGCAAGCCTCGCCGGGCCCTTTAAAATGCCTGCGATATTAGACGGCTCCTCGCAAGGGTTGGGCGCGTGGCGGGGTGGCGGCGGAGGGGGGCAGTTTAATGAGTTTATTTGTCGGCGTTGATGAGTCTTTGCAGCCCCGCCCCGCCCCGCCCCGCCCCACCCCGCCCCCCCCGCCCCGCCCCGCCCCGCCCCGCCCCGCCCGCTGTCACCGGCAGACAAGCAGCATCATTACAGGGCGGCGGGAAGACGCCCCAGGACTGCCAAAGGACTGCCAAAGGACTGCCAAGGACTGCCAAGGACTGCCAAAGGACTGCCAAGGACTGCCAAAGGACTGCCAAAGGACTGCCAAAGG